ACCTTAATGTAAAGTGAACACCTGTGAACCATTTATTAATGAGTACTAAATATTAGTAACCAGTCAAAGTAAAGTGGACACAATAATTATTTATTTATTAATTGATTATTATTGCACACACAGAAAAAGTTAGTATTTTCTAGTGAAATAAATGTTATTGTTGTTGCACTACATCAGCAAACAACTTTCAACTTGAAACAAAAAGATTAATCTTTTTTTTTACAGCCCACCGGAACATAACTGAGCATAACTTCACACAAAAAAGTGGCTTATAAAAGTAAACTCACATTATAACTAAGCATCAAATCTATACAACAAAAATATTTGATAAATGCAAAATCAATAAAGGCACCTAAATATTTTTATTTTATCTAATTTAACAGTTTTGATAAAATAATTAAATCAATGACTGAAAGCACCGTTACAGAACATTTTCATACTAATAAGCAATCAGTAATTACTTTTTGATATCATGATAAAGCCCACTGTAACTTCACTATTTGTTCATCCACACTCACAGTAACGTTACCTGTGCGCGAGCGCCGGAGCGGTTATTTATTTGTATGGTAACTAATTAATTCAACTAACAAAGCGATTACACCTTTAAACACTTGAAAAATATACTCTGCAGTGTCACCTCACAGTTAGCTGACCCGTAAAATTAATAAACACAATGTGAGAGCACGCTTTAGAAGACGCGTTGGAACAATCCTAACAGCGTGACTTCTTCTACTTTGAAAACGTGGCTTTTTCATACGTGTGTCTGTAGTTGCCTGTGTATCACCAAAGCCTGTAAATGGCGCTAGTGAGCATCCGATGTAAAGTCACGTTTTCAAAGAAGAAGAAGTCACGCTGTTAGGATTGTTCCAACGTGCTCTGAAGCGAAATTATAATCTCACATGGTGTTTATTAATTTTACGAGTCAGCTAACTGTGAGGTGATACTGCTGAGTATATTGTTCAAGTGTGTATGTGTAATCGCTTTGCTAGTTGAATTAATTCGTTACCATACAAATAAATAACTGCTCTGGCGCTCCCACGGACGGTAACGTTACTGCCAGTGTGAACAAATACTGAAGTTACAGTGGGCTAGCCTTTATCATGATATCAAAAAATTATTACTGTTTGCTTATTAATATGATAATGTTCTGTAACTGTGCTTTCAGTCATTGATTTAATTATTTACTCAAAACTGTTAAATTAGATAAAATATAAATATGTATATTTTTTGGTGCTTAGTTATAATCCAGTTATTAAAAAGCGTTGCATTGCTGCGGGCGCCCCCTTCTGGATTGGAGGTGAATTGCCTGTATTCGTTGTAAGGCCTCATGCACCAAACCGAGATGTCCGTACCGTGACGGTTCGGTACGAATACATGTATCGTACCACCCCTAGTAATAATAAATTATAATAATATAGTATGATATTTTTGTATTTTAATGTTTGGTCTTATCTTTATTACAGTAATTGATGCTTGATAGTGAACTGTTCCAAACTCACAATCTTGATACAATATAATTGAAGCTGGCACAGGTATTGCAGAATTAATAATAGTAATATTAATATATAATAATCTATTCTAGGTAACTTGGAGCTGGAACTGGATGACAGAGAGCTAATACTGTTAAACTGGTCAATTATTTAAGGTTAAACTCTTAAAATAATGAATTTACCACTGCAAAATGTATACACACACACAAATATTTAGGACAGCCTACAGCCTTGACAGGGTTATTATGGAGAATATTATTCAGTTGCATTTCTTAATCTCATTGGCTGCTAGTTTTGCATTCAAACGATTTTACTTTTTTATTTTTTTTACTATTTTTTTATAAACTATCATTTCAGGCGTCTTCAACACTAATTGGTTCATAACACCACAGAGCCTAATTGGCATAGCATGTGAGCTACATAATACAGTACTTCAAATGTACTTTCACTGCATTTCCTTGCATCTCCAAATAATTCTTGGTTTATTACAAAATGGCTTTAACTTTCTGATTAATACTAAATGTAGTAAATTCATTTAGACAAGGGTTATGTTTATATTGCATTACAGTTAAAAATAATTCCACAATTCCTACTGCATTTTCGTTTTCTTTTGTGTTCTAGAGAAGATATCAACATATATTGTCTCCGCTATTAAAGGGGTCATATGATGCTGCTAAAAAGAACATTATTTTGTGTATTTGGTGTAATGAAATGTGTTTATGCGGTTTAAGGTTCAAAAAACACATTATTTTCCACATACTGTACATTATCGTTTCTCCTCTATGCCCCGCCTTTCTGAAACGCGTCGATTTTTACAAAACTAATCGGTCTGAAAAGCGAGGTGTGCTCTGATTAACCAACTATCCAGTGCGTTGTGATTGGCCTGCTGCATATTGATTACCATCTTAATAACTCATTGATTTGAGTAAGGAGCATTCAGGAAGCTTCAGATCTGGGTGTCACTCAGTGCTGGCGGCCCTGGATTGATTTTCTTCAGCTTCTCCGTGATAGACAAATACTGCTGGTTCCTCTCCTCCTCAGAGAGCGAAGACGGATTGATCTCCAGGAATTTATATGCATCTCTAGACTGAACACTGAAGACGTCTTGAGCTCTCTGACAGCACATACCAAATCTCTTCCAGTACTGAAAGATAAAAGGCATGCCACCATTAATCACATTTACTCAAATATATTTGATAAATTATATGGACATAATTGGACTAGTTTCAACTTCAATAATGAGCTGCACTGATAAATAATAATAATAATAACAATAAAAACACTGCAATGATACATGGAAGAAAAATCTAAAAAACAAAACAAAATCCTACATTTTTTCATGATGATTTTAAAGGGTTAGTTCAATGTAAACTCAGCCTATGCATCTACAACTTTCAAAGCCAAGAATGGTTGTAAAGATATCATTAAAGTCATCCATGTGTCTCCAAAGATTTAACCCCAGTTTTATGAAGCAATGTGAATGCCTTTTTTGATGGAAAATAACCCCTCCTGTTGGTATTTGTTTATTCAGTTGGCGCACAGGAGCCTGAAGTCCCACAGCTGATAGATTGAGAATGAGGCTGGAAATTCACCTATGTTTCTATTACTAAATAACTCAAAAGCAGTAGAAATGTCTATGCCGGTGCCTCCAAAATGTACAGTTAGCCTGTAAAACCTTAATAAATCCCAGAACGTTTATCTTAGAGTAATACAAATTATTTATTACACGCAATCGACATAAAGAAAGATAAGGCAATCACAATAAAATAAAGGAAACCTTTAAACTGTACTTCACATTATGAAATAAAAATAATTCCCAAATGAATTTGTTGTATCGAGTCTCTTTTAAACCCAAATGACCCTTGTTTGCATGTATAAACAACAACGAGGAACCCTGATTGGTCGATGACAGTCGAACGTCCTCATTGGCTAAATATGAGACATCATTGTATCCGTATATATTATTGAAGTGCAACAACAGACACATTTTACATTAAATGCTTTTGAAAACACACACGAACAATGAAACATCTTAATATATAAATTTTTGAAATTTTGAGTACGTTACAAAACTAATGTAATAATTGAATCAATTCTAAATGTATTAAATGTGATGATATCTAGATTCAACAAATAACAGGTGATTGCACAGAACTCATCTACTGGGCATTGTTGTCACCTTTTTGAAGTCATGTTATTTTTTTTCTCACATCATATTTCAGCAATCTCTCCCAATATGTTTTTTTTTTAAACTGATAAATGTGTAGATGCTTACTGTAGTTTTTATGAAGCAGAATCTTTGTGGGATAATGGGCCTTAGGCATAAAGTGGCATTACTGCAGAATATGATTTCCAGAATAAAGCTATATTTTTACTAGGCTACTAGTCAAAATAAAGCGTAAAGTCTAAATGAATGTTAAAGTGCATAACTTGTGATAAAACGTAGAAGTAAGACAAAATAGGTGCCTAAAAAGGACATTATAGCCATATACTGGGCATTACTGCCACAACATAACTTGATCTGACTTGATTTTGTCACCAGATGGTTTTAATCTGACCCAGTACATGACAATTTCCTACAGTTCCTAAAGTGTAGATTTCAGTCTTGAGGTTATATAAATATGCTCATTTGCATATGCAAATTATTGGCAAAGAAGATAAATTAACATCTAAATTAAATAAAATCATAAAAGTTACAATACTGTTTGTCTCCTCGGTCATTTCTGACCTGAACCAGCCGGTACTTTAAGGGCTCCTTGTTAAAAAACTTAGTTTTTAGATTTGTCTAGAATAACAAACATGCTATGCACAACTGTGCATTTATTTATTATCTTTGATCTTTTTTCTCCTGTCACACGGCATCCTCATCGGGTTCTAGTTAAGATGGTAATAACTTTCAACGATTAGACACTAGCATCTCGCTTGAGATTACAAAACTCTTTGCTTTGGATTCTGGAAAATATAGCATCAGCTGTACACTATTAATCAGAGTATATTATGGATAAACAAAAAACAACTTAGGAAATTAAAGTGAGAACTCAGAGAGTTCATGAAAGGCATAATCAAATTACATCAGGAACATTTGCTCAACATCTAACTTACCTTTGCTGCATCTTCAATGGAGTTTAGAAACCCATCCTTCATGTCCTCCATGTCAACCATTTCCTCCCCAGCAAAGGTTTGATCTTTCAGCGTGCACAGAATAGCATCCACCTTCTCCCAAAACTTTTTCAGATCAATCAGAATTTGTTGGATTTGAGAAAGACACAGCTGGACTTCCTTCAGGTTGTCAGGGTCGGGAATCTCACCTGGAATGATTTATGAGAGATCATTGTGAAGAACATGTCAAGAGCATAACATGCATGCAGATGAATTTACTGTATGTTTGTAACAATAAAATAATAGAGAGACACTCACCCATTCGTATTTTACAATTGGCCAGCTGCAGCTGAAGATCAGTCCGCTTGATTTTGATGTTCCATTCCTCATTTCGCAGAAGGCTCTTCTCAGAGTCGAGTTGTTTCAGTTTTATATCCAGAGCGATGGCACTAGGCTCCTTCATAGCATCTGGATAGCCTCTAAAAAAGTCGAGGAACTTCACAGTCCAGTGGCCATGTTCTTCCTGAAATCTTCTGATGAAGCGGTTCAGCTCGTCAGTTGTGTTTTGAATTTGTTTCTCATTCATCTCCGTTTTGTCGACTACTATTTTCAGTTCTTCTTCAAGCTTGGCCAGAGCATCCTCCAGACCCTTCATCTCATTAGATTTTTTCGCTTTTTTTTCTTCGGTCTCTGTTTGTTCTTGATACACGTCACTGGTGCATGTTTTCACACTTTGGTTGTGTTGATCATACCTGAATAATACAGTGCATTTCAAATAAATAATGGAATACAGCGATGTGGTCCGGATTTCATCACAAGACAAGACACTGAACAATTGTCTTAAAGAGGACGTATTATTCTGCACGAATGTAATTCTATACAACAGTTCGATAGGCACTTTCACACTGGAGGAACCTTTTCATAGTTCCTAGAACTATTGGTGGAAGTTACCAGTTTTGGGCGTGTTCGCACCGCAGGAACTAGGAACGGTTTTAGTTCTAGGAATTCCGTTGGGTTTGGAGGAACTAAATTACCTCCTACTTCAGAGTAGGGTCTAAACCAGTTCTACAGGAACTGTTGTGTGTTTCTAAATGAATCTGCTAATGTAGAGAAGACCTCCCTTCTGTTCTTTTTTCATGCTCAAACAGTAACTTTACACATATCATTTCTATATGATCTATACCTATATACATTGACACTTTTTACAAAAAATATATTATTGTTATGACCCAAAACATCTTGTGATCCATGACCCTGAATAGCAAATTATTTGAATACTTAAAAATAATCACCATCTGTACAAACAAGACATCAAATTTACCTGCAATTATAAAATCACCCATGTGTTTCCCCTTTGAATTAAGTTGACTATAAGATATTACTAATATTTTCACCTCTTCACTATGTCATCCACTTGTGCTACGATGTCAGTGATCCACTCTTTGGCTCTCATCAGGTACTTCACCGCCAAACCGGGTTTGTTCTTCTCCACAGCCGTTTTCAACATTGGAAACAGGGAGGTGACCAGGTTGGAACTCGTGCCGACACACTACGAGACAACATCAATCACCAAGTTAATCATGTGATAGACTAGTAAATCATGACAATTCACAGTGACTACACAACCGTATACAGTTAAAAACATCAGCAAATCATAACAGTATAGTAACTGCTGAAGTTATGTGACGCTGTCATGACTAATTGTGGTCATTTCTTGTTTTCTCTTCCTGTTCTAGCTCGTTGTGACAAGTTTGAGTCCAAATATTGTCCAGGTCATGGGGGAGCAATCGGTTCCCCATCTACTGTACAGTTTTCGCTGCGTTCACCCTTTTTGGTTTTCAAGGACTAAAATCAGAGATCACAATATTGTTATTATCTTTCAAATTCTAATAAACTAATAAAACAAAATGGTACAAATAACGTGCAGCACATGAAAAGCATGCAATGACTCTGCCATTGTATCCTTTCAAATGTTCAAGTTACCAAAGTTATCGCTTTCCTGATTCAAACTGATTTTTTTTTTCTATATGATTATATGATTAACCTGAAGAGTAAAAGCTTCATCATACACTTGTAAAGTTATGAGCTCGCAGACACTAGGGGTGTGGCACTACACTTAGCTCACGAGATGAGACAAAATACAGATACTTGGTTTAATAGATTGCAACACATTTTTAAATAGTATTTTAAGAAATATTCAATGACAAAATATTTGTCTTTTAATCACAAAAAGGCAAAAATGCTGAGCTGTATGTAGTTGTATTTTGAAATATTTTAACTAGTCTAGAGCCGTAACAACAATTATTTTGGTAATCAAGTAATCTACTGATTATTTTGACAATTGAGTAATCTAATATTTTTTAGTAATAAAAATAGATCTAAGTGAAAAACAGGCTTTAGTATGACTACATTTATATATATTAAACTAACGATGAGACAATAATTCGTTCAAATAAAGTATCAAAGCCAAGTAATCACATGGCTTTATTGAACAACACTGTTAAAATAAAGTAATATGCCTATAACCAACTTAAGTACATTAAGTATCTTAACAAATACCTGCAGAGGGCGCCAACGGCCCAGAGATGATTCACTTTACAGCATGATTCAATGACGCTTAAATCCATTTAATGTTAATATTTGGCCACAAGCAAACTCAGAGCAGTCTTCCCCATTCACGTCTTGCCAGTATGACGCAAGTAACTGCCCAGAAACAACATGTCTGTAGTGGAGTAAAAGGAATTATATGTTTTATCTAAATTTTATGTAATAAAGTAGAAACAGTAGAAACT